TTTTATACACTAATAACTCTCATCAATTTTATTTGCTTTACATTTTTTATTAGCAAACCAACTTCTCCAGGCTGCCATATATGATGTTTAGCTCCAACTTCAGAACAAACATGATTAATAATGTCACTGGGTCAAAGTGCTGCTACATCTTCAACTAATGGTGCAATAAACTTGACAAGAAATGACCTATATGCTTTAAATGTATCTATAAAGATCGGACAAGTCTGATCATGTTGAATTAGCTTTACAATATAAATATAGCCATCTTTATATCTATTTGCAGAAATGGTAAAAGAACATACACTAGTTTTGTTAGAAGGACAATCAACAAGTAATTTGTTGGCTTTGTTGGTTTTGAACTTGTAGGGTAAAAAAGATTTGACAAAATAATCATCTAAAGCTGAACGGTCGCTTTTCATATGGGATCTTTGCCTTGAAAATCACGTTATGAGACATAGTAAATCATATGTCCCATAACGTGATTTTCAAGACAAAGACCCCATATTGTTAAATCTCATACCAATCTGCAATTTTGTACTTGATATGATGAGTTATAAAATGATAATGATGGACAAGTAATTGGACAATTTAAAAACTAGCAGCAGATTTAATGGATCAAATGGCAAAAGATGAGTCCAATTTTTTTCTTGCATTTTTTTTTATTTAATTATTAATTATGATCACTACATTTCTTATGCGCTTTATTAATGATGATATAATTGAGTCATTAATTTGAGCTTCACTGAGTTTTGGGTTCATACACACCGCTGTGGCACAGTAATCTGTAATAACATTTTCCAAAAATTTGGGCCCTTAAATGTAATTATTTATATTAGGCTCTTGTTTGTAATTATTTTCATTTTTTGGACCCTTATGCATTATGAACAATTTTTATTTATAATTAATGCAGCAACAAGCATATTATTTCAATTATTTATAACATGATTGGTAACATGTGCATTATCAATAATGAGCATTGTGCAACCTATTATATATAAAAGTAATGCTTATACAAATTTCATGTTTGAAACATCTTAACTGTTTTATTTTTGTCAGTGTCTTTAACTACAAGTGCACATATTATGGCCCTTTTTACCACAATTTTCACATATATTTTGATCTTCTGGTACTGTTTCACCACAGCTATGTAATCAAATTTTTCATAATCATCCAGCTTGTTTTATAGTAGCTGATAGCATAGTGGTATTATTGGGCAAACATGCCTTAGCATCAATAGGTTGAATTGATGTTTTGTAAATATTTTGAAGAGCATTTGTATGATATATAAAATGAGTAAATTGCGGTAGTTGTTGATGTATCTTCAGAATAGCAGCACAGGCATATACACATGGGAATTGATATAGTTGAAATTCTTGATATATGCAAGTTAATTGAGTAAGATCTACAACATGAAAATTACCATTATCACTTTTGACTTCAAAAAGTGATTCGTCAATTTGACATACTGTTCTATTATAACATCTATTTAGCAATACTGTTTGTATTGAAGAATATTTTGTGTGATAATTATAATAAAGTGTGTTCACTTTGTGTACAAATAAAAGAATTGTTCAAATGGTTCTATAAAACATTCTTCATATAATCATAGATTTAAAGATTTAAATATATTAGATGTAAGATGACCAAATCTGTTTCAAGAACATTAGCTAAAAGTCCATGTTGCAAGAGATATTTCTTGAAGATAGATAGCAGCTTCTAGATACATATTAGATATTTCTTCCATAATATTATCAAAATCTTTTATATACAATGCTTTTGCTGTGGTCCAGATTTTATCTCCAAGTTTTGCTCTAAATTTCGTGTTAATGTTCTTCTCAATATACTACACACAGTGCATATAAAAAGAATTAGAGAGTTTCATGCATACAGCATCTGAAATGCTCTATAAAAATATTTTTTAATATTGTTTAAAGAATCATAGTATGTATCATAAAAATACTGTATAATAAATATACCTTTTTACGATCACTTATAATAATGGTTTTGTTAGTATTAATAATTGGAAGAGCTGTATATAAATGTTCACAAAACTATATCCAATTATCAGAATTCTCTACAAAACATATAGCGAAAGCTATAGAAACTAATCTTCTTTCTTCATCAATTGTGTATGCACTAATGTATACAACTTTATAGCTTAATTTGAATGACAAGCATCAAATATAAACACTCGTTTACAATATTCAACAGCTGTAATCCATAGTCTTAAATATAAAAATGCATGTATAAATCGATTTTCAGTGTCACTTTCAAATACAGTAACACTGCCAGGGTTTCTATATATAAACTGTTAAGTAATGACTTGATACGTTGGTAGCTTTGATTCACATTCTTAATGCCATGTTTTATATTAACAGCATAACTTCTCTAAGCTGTCATGTATGTTACTTTGGCCTCTACTTTAGAGCAAACATGGTTTATAATATCACTAGGCCGAAGTGTTGCTATGTCCTTAATCAATGTCCCAGTAAATCTTCTAAGATATGATTTATTTTTATTTATTTTTTTTTTTAAGGTGAGGTCATGCCTCTTGTATCTTTTATTAAATCATAAGTTTATATACTACTATACAACCTTGTTGCTCACTCATGTACTTGCTAATTGACTAATTACAGAATACGAGACTCAGACTACTTTATCTGTGACCTAAACCTACCAGAGCCTTAATATCCGACCTGGATTTTGTGTACTACCCCAGTCAATCAATTTCTTACCCATAGATTCCCTACATTTCTCATACTAACAACAGGATACTTCCAGCTTAGTACTCAGTGCGGTATCCATTACAGATCCCATTAAGAGGCATCCGGCAATCGTAGCCTCACGGTTACTTCCAATGTTGGTGTTGTAGTTTCGTACAATGTTGGTTATATGCATGCAGGTCTTGATAACAGGTACTCCCCGAATTGGTGTATCACAGGATTGGGCATTGAAACTTCCAACTGAGTTTTTTGTGACAGTGTCACTTTCAAATTAAGGGTATTTCAACCCCTCTTGGTGCTTACTAATGTTGGTATTCCTAGTGTTACATTTCGTATTACTACTTCTAGTTGGGTACAATCTTGCCATTCCTTGTCACGTTTTAAGCATACCCCAAGTTGTATGCCGATCTCTCTCTATTTAGGTAATCCATTTTCTTGACCTGGTATCGTACAGAATGCCAGAGGTGCTTCCAATTCCGAATGGACCAATCCTTTACTACAAGTCATCCTCGTGTTCACCACTTTTCTCACTACTCCAGTTTTGTTATTGTCAACACGTTCCCAATCAAGTACTCCAACCGCTGGAGATGTTAGTGCTGCCCCGATCACCCCTAATCGAGAACTTATATATGCAATCTTGTATAACAGAACCTTCTATGACACATGACATCATCACCGTGTACCATATGTAGTGCCATTGCTCCACAATTAGACCTCCTTCCGGGAATTTCCTTTTTCAGTTTCGTACTTGCACTTGGACTTAGCCACAGGGCTCCGCATTCAATATAGCTTCCTTTTTGAGTTACAGAAGCGAAAAATCCTAAGATTTTTGCCTCCAGCCTAACTTGAACCGTCGACCTAGTCTGTGGGGGTTTGGCAGCTTAACCACTAAGCTATAGGCCTAAACCCTGATATAATTCATGTGCTTTAAAAATCTCTATAAAAGTTGGGCAAGTTAAGTTATGATAAACTAGCTTTACAATATAGATATAACTATCCTTGCATTGATTGGCTGAAATGGTAAAAGAACATGAACTGGTTTTACTTGTAAGAAAAACGACAAGTAGCTTGTCAGGTTTGTTAGTTTTAAACTTATATAGTGAAGAAAATTCAAATGAATAATCATCCAAAGCTAAACAAACATCTTCTATTTTGGTAAATATCATCCTGATTTGTATTGTGTTTGACATAATTAAATACAATGTTATAAGAAATGAATTTACAGAATAAATAACGAGTTGAAACAAGAATGGGTTTTTTGGAATTCTGATGAACCCAAAATAATGCTTATATTCTGATTACTAATTTACATTTTCTATATTGATGATGATATTTCTTATGTCTTAAAATCAAATTTGAGTCACGAATGTGTCACAAAAATAAGGCATAATTGGATTGAGTTTTAGGTCATCACTTGAATCACAGATTTGTACTATGATTAGGGTGAGTGGCACAGAGGTTACGGGCATGCCATTATGGCATGCCAATGGTGGCATACCAATGGCATGCCCAAAATTTAAATCCTCTAAGGGTATGCCACTTATATTAGAAGAACCAATCAAATTGTAAATTTCGAAAAATCTAGATAAGCTTCTAATGCTACATATGTACGAACCAAAATTCTATTACGTTAACCTTTTTCTCTAATAGCTACGTATGTAGACCCATATATATGAGTAACGCCAAGGAAAAACTATACTAACGAAGTCTAGTTTTCTCTTGGCGTTACCCATATTTTATTTTTTAAAAGCAGCACTTGAAAAAAACAGTTTTATGTGCTTCGTCATTGGTATGCATGTTTAAATTTCCATGATCTACCCAAACTTGTAATAAAAAACTGATCGCACAAACTAACTAGTTTACTCTTCTAAAATCTTGCTTAAATCTTTTAAACAAATGATAGATTACATCGGGCTTTTGGATCTAAGACTTGCACGATATTACTTGTTCTAATTGGTGATTCTGGATTTTACTCAGGCCATATAATTATGAAAATTTGACTCTGATTTGTTCTTAACTCACTCAAAATATTGTATGAATTTACTAGTATTGATTACTAAGTTTATTTGTTTTATTGTTATATCTTAGGTTTTGAATACAATTCAAAGATTTTTATTTCAAAATTTAAATTCCAATGAATTACTTTATTTGAGGTTAGAATTTATTTTTATTACAAATTTAAGACTATAATAAAAGTTTTTTTCATTAATTTTTATCAAGATAATGTCGAATATGGAAGTAAAAAAAAAACTTATATAAAATTTTTGTAAATCTATTCTAACACAGCATTATATTATTGACAGACCAATCGTCATTAGTATTACTAGTAGGTCTTTGAGAATTAACTAGACCTTCTTCAGTTATATTCATTTGATTTCGTTCAAGCATTCTAATATCAAAAAATTGATTTATTGCTAATTCATTTTCTAATTCCATGTTTACTGCTTCGATATTGATTTGTAAAAATTCATCATTAAATTCTTCCTCAAAAAGATTAATATCGGCACCTTCACTACTTATAGAATTCTCAGGTAATGGTAAACTTGGATTATTTGTTTTAGCGTTAGTTTTTTTTGTGCTTTCGATAATTTTTGTTGAAGATCATGGCGGAGCATCCCAAGCATTCCCATTAAAATGGGAGACATCCTGTTTCGTAACTTTGTTTTTACTAGTCCCAAACTAGAAAACAAACGTTCAACGGATGCTGAGTGTGGAACAATTGAAAATACTTTCATGGCAAAACGCCGAAGAAGTGGTGAACCTCTAGTAAATTTGGACCAGAAAATTCTAGGATTAATATCTTCGGAATATTGATTTTTAAAAGGAACATCACCATCCTTATAACTGATAAGTTCTTTAAATAAAAGCGTTATTTCTTTTTTGTCAAAACTCCAAGCTTTTGCCAACTCCAAGGATGCCCTAATGATTAAGTCTCCCGACATTTGTCCTGACATTGCTATTTTTCTATGACTAGGTGATAAAAAAAAAGAAACAAAATAAATGCCATCAGAAAATTCGCGTGTTCGTTTATAATAAATGCCATCAGAAAATTCGCGTGTTCGTTTATCAAGAGCTGCCAAGGTATGATTTTTAAATCCTTCAATCAGGATATTCTCTGTAGAAATGATACAATGAATATTTATTAATTCTTTGAAAATATCTGCTAATGTGGAATCCCTTGACTCAAGACGACCGATAGCATCAACAACGGGGATAAGCACTTTGATTAATGTGTCGTTGTTTGCAAAATGGTGATGATTAGTAATTATGTTTTGGATTTCTATTCTTATTGTCGGATAATTACTGGTTTTACTAAGGTCAATACAGTGATAAAACCCTTTTTCAAAAGATTTAACACCCAAGCAGACTTTCGCCAAAGAGTACCATCTGGTTTCACAAAATGTTGTGAGCGAATGATGCAACCCTTCTTTTTTCTGCCAGTTCTGTAGAGTGCGGAGCCAGATGTAAAAAGATGTAAAGAAATTAACAAGCTTTTGGTTATTCTTAATAACCGTAAGTAAAGGAGGAAAAGCAGAGATATCTTTTGTGAGCAGATTAAAAGCGTGAAGTCAGCAGCGGATAGAGACGATATTCGGATAATTTTCCTTGAGATTATTTTTCATTCGAATCATAACGGCGGGATTATCAGTTACACATGCAATAATTGCATGATTAACGAAAATAGAATTTGAGTTAAGTATTTTTTCAGGCGTTCTTTAAGGAAAGCTGCTGTATGTCGGGCTGCAAATAAATCAACAATGTCTAAAACATGTTCTTGATCTTCTTTCAAAGCCATAAAACTGTATATAGAATTTTTAGATACATCTTGCCATCCGTCTAAAGCAATCGTAATATCGGTAAGAGATTCCATAACTTCTAATTTTTTGCTTAGATAAGTTGAAAATGAATTGTTAAAAACTTTTACGCGTAATATGTTTGCCGAAGGTGAGTCATAATTTGGTGCCAGTTCCTTAAGAAATTCAAGAAAATAAGGATTTTTAATAATCTTAAAAGAAAGGTTACCATAGATAAAGGCGTTAAGCAATTTTTTATTAATTTTAGTATCCTTATCCTGTGAAATCGGTTTAATATACCAATTTGTTAAACTTTTTTGACGCTTTACTACCGAAGATGACGAACCATCAGTGTCACTACAAATGCTTCTATTAATTTTGATAAAAAAAAAAAAAAAAAAAAAAAAAAAAACTGTTACATACGTAAGCGATTCTTGATCGGAGATTAATTTTTTCTTGATTTTTTTGTTAGGAGCAGAACTTGTTACTTTCTTAATATATGAATTCTTCTCAGTAACAGGCCAACTATCACATGTAAGAACATGAGTATGAAGTTTTTCAGGCCTGCCGGGCAATTCAAGGTTACAATAAGTACATTTAGCCATATATCTGTTGCCCACTCCTTTTTCTAAAAAACGCAAAAACCCTGTCCAGCAATGATCATGAAGCTTCATGTCAAGAAAAGTAAAACCAGATGGGAATTGGGCGGCTTCGATGGTGTTATCAACTGTAAGCTTGCCTGTTTCAGAACTGATATATGATTGCATGGCGCAGGTTTGAAATATTTTATAATAAGTAATTTTTTATTTTACTAACAGCAGAAAAAAGATGAATTTTTAATTTAACAATTCTGTATAATCTAAAAACAAGGCTATTCGAATAGGGTGGATAATTTGGCAGGTTAAACAAAAAATTTTTTGAAATTCGTGTGATTTACTATTACTATTTTTATGAGATTGGGATTATGAACGATTTTAAGGCAAAAAAGAATCTTATCAAGTTATTTCAAACCCGATAATAATCCGTTTTTATTAATCTTTTGAAAGGGTTTATATATATGTTTTTAGACATATCATTTAAAAAAAAATCTATTTTATCTGTTCTAATTTTTTTATTAATCCGAATCTTGAAGGCTTTGATATCATAATAATTAATTTTATTTTACTTGTACTATTTAGGTGCGGTATAAATTTTTTTTAACCAATATCATGGAAATCCTTAATGCTCAATTTGAAATCAGCTCCAGCCATGGTTTAAGCCAATTAGGTTTTTAAACATATCATTTAAAAAAATTCTATTAATTTTTATCTGTTCTATTTTTTTTTTCTATTGATCCGAATATTAGAGGCTTTAATATTAAGTTTTAGCCCAAATAGTTAAAGGAATTTTAACTAATTTTTTTCATT